GACTATTATAGAGATTTTAGGGTCTCCTTTAAAAAAAAAAAAAAAATCATGTAAGAATTTTTATGTAGTCATATTTTATTATTTATGATATGATTTTAATGATTTTAGCATCCCATTTTAAATTATTCTTTAAATATATTAAACATATTAATCAACAATGGGCTTTCAAAATTATAAAAAAAAAATATTAATATCAAATTAAATTAATAATAATGTATAATATATACTTTTATTTATAAAACTATTACATAAATAATATATCATTTTAAATATAGTTTTATTTATATAAATTTTAACTATTTATAATATGCAATACATATGTTTATAATTATTAAAAAAACTGAGAGCAACATGAGTATTTGGATAAGTGGTGTATTGAATATTTTTTGGTGATAAAATGATGTCAGAGTCTGTGGGCTGATGAAAATGATCTCAGACACTTTTAATGGAGGGGAGAGATTCTAAGCTGAGAGGGTTTCCAAAGACGCCAACCATTTTCTGTGCATTATTAATAATCTCCCTGAGACCTTAAAATCTAAAAGCACAATGCCATTGTTTTTTCCTGGAAAAGAAATGAAGAGAGTGGGCAGGGAAAGCTGTAAAATAAAATCAAAACAGCTCAAGGTGAAGGGCTACTGTTGCGGTTGAATTGTTGGACAGTATTAGCGGCGTGTTGTTGTATCTGCGCTCTCTTTGCACTGGAGTTCGTATTCAAAAGGTGCTTTGGAGGGGGTGGCGGAACAGAGTCAACACAGTGAAGAGGAAAAGCTGATCAAAGCGTGCAGCGCTAAGATGTTAACGGGGGGTCGAGTCGCCCTGGGCCTCTGACCGCTTACAGCTGTGATAGCACCTCTCGACTCCGCAGGGGTGGAGGGGGGCAGTACAATAATGTATGCTAATGAGCCATTGGCTAACTTCCCGACAAAGGCGGGGTCAGAGCCACGGCCTCATTTTCTCATTTAAGAACACGTGTTTGTCACCATTAGCGCGATTTCAAACGTAAACCTACAAATCCCACCTCATCTTCTCTAAAATATGATTTTAAAGACCCCAAAAAGTAATCATTACCAAAAGATAAGAGAAACAGGGAGATAAAGGGTTGGAAGAGAGGAGAAAGTTGGAAGTTTTTAAACCAAAGGCGAAGTTTGCGGATGAAAAGGCTCGACCCAATTAGCGGGTGCATGAAAAATCAAACCCCCGCTTTTCTGCGCTCTCCATACGTGCAACCTTTTGATTGACTGATGTCAGATCTGTGAAAGCCCGACAGATAAATCGACAGTCCTAGCTCACACAGTGCTTAATCATCAGTAACGGCTGCATTTGGTCTAGCGTATCCGTATGGTGGTTTATCTGCTAGATGGGGGCTAGGCGCATCAGTCGATGTTTTCTTTTCCCTCTCATTGTGTTAGCGAACAGTTTAATGGCCGATTTCTACACGGAAGTGTTGATGTACGACGCAGGCCTTTTGTCTTTACGTGATCTGCATGTGGTTAGCGCATGTCCGTACAAAAGCGGGATCCTGAGAGTTGTGCTTTTTGTCCTGTTATAAGCAGCTACCCCGTGCATAAAGGCCATTAGCCCCAGTGAAGGCTGGACCACTGGAGGAGCCACGGTCATCATCATTGGCGATAACTTCTTCGATGGACTACAGGTCGTGTTTGGCACCATGCTAGTATGGAGTGAGGTAAGACTTTGGCGTAAAACCATTTTATTGTGCATGAGGTATTTGCCCAGCCATTTGTTTCTGTAACAGCCTTCTAATGAATTTCATTAGATTCTATAAAAAGCGATTACGTGAAAACTGTGATTATACACAGTTTATGAAGCCCGGCTTCTACAGGTTTAATGCAATTACGCTGGCGTCCGTTTATTGTCTCTTTACATTTACTTTTTGTTCATTTCACGCCACATAAACATATAAATAAGAGTGAACTAAAGGGATGCCGAAGCTGCGTAGTAATTAGTTCGGAGCTAATAAAGATTTCAGGTTAGTGTGTTCCTTTATGAGTTGATAAAGCTGTCTGGCATATATTTGCCGGTTGGAGCCTCAACGAGCCAATCAGCATTTGTTTATTCGATTTATTTTATTATTTTTCTTTTCCTAGTTTAATCACAAGAGCAGATAAGGAGTTAGATAAACAAACTGCATGCTAAACAGCCCCACAATAAGTCCACAGAGGCCTCCGCCGTGTTCCTTGCCGAACCGTGAGGTCTTGCAAAACAATTGAACAATTAGGGGTGAAATATCTCAGAGGGGGAAAAACGAGCCAGGGAAAGCAAGGAAAACAGTGAAGGAAAGACATATGGAGGTGATTTTAGCAGGACTCCTGCCCCTTGGCCTTTCCTTGGCTCGGTGTAATCCAAGGTCTGTTTGCTGACGTTAACTTTAAAGCGAGGAGAAAAAAACGAAGAAGGTTTGCAGTTGGTTTTTGAATGGCTTCTCCTTGACAGGTTAATGTACCACTGTGGCCTTCGAATCTATTCAACAACTGGCACAATCCTAACCTAGTTTGGCAACTGTTTAAGAATGCCCTATTTCTGAGCTCTAGGTAAACAAAAACCCCTCAAACAACAAGAAACATTTTTGAAGGGTTTCATTGGATTCCAGTTGTTCAAAACAATGCAGCAATTGGTGCAGTTTGCATGGTCCTAACCAACTTTTCCCATTGTTTCTCGTAGCTCATTACGCCCCATGCCATCCGAGTGCAGACCCCTCCAAGACACATCCCGGGCGTCGTAGAGGTCACCTTGTCCTACAAGTCCAAGCAGTTCTGCAAAGGTGCACCGGGGCGATTTGTGTATACAGGTGAGCTTCAGTTGGTTCTCTCACATCTTTGGCTCCATCCTTAAGTGCTGAACCCCATCGTGGGATGCATGCCTCTGTAACCCAATATCTCCTCCATCTTAGGCAGGGCAATGGAGTTGGGGGCAGCTGCCAACCCTGACAACATATCTCCGACCCCTTTCTCCTGCACCCTGTCCTCTACTTTGCACAAAAACACTAGTGTTTCTTGTCGCCCAGGTTACTCATGTGTGCGTACCTATGTGTGACCAGCTCACAAGGTTGCGCTTTGTGCGGCATTTGGGCCGATTGTGTTTTTACGTGGTCTTAGATGAGAGTATTCTCTCCCTCGGTACAGCTGATACTGGAGGTTACACGGTCACACCGTGTTTGACCTGGAAGCAGTGTGCCTGATCCCAAATTGAGTAGGACAATGAGATAATCATCAGGAATTACTCTCACACTCAGGAATGTCAAGGCCGAGAGAGAGAGGGAGAGAGAGAAAATTACACAGAGAGAGAGAGAGGGAGGTGAGGAAGGGGCCCCGGTCCCCCCAGGCAGCTGTTCCCCATCTCAGCCCCACAGAGGCTGTGGGCGGATTCTCCCTCCCACATTTAACCCTCTCAGCAGGAGCAGGGCAGAGGCCAACGAGCCCCTGCGATAATGAAACCCGAGAACACGGGGCCGGCTAATACCAGACCTGCTCAGACATTAATGTCTGCCATCGTTAAAGCCACAGAGACTCAGGGACCAAACATGTGCTAATGCTAATAAGCATAAAATAGTGAGTCTGTGTCAAATTCAGCACACATTATAATGTTTTGACGAGCCTGTGCGTCATCAGCCCTAACAAAAACTGACTGTGGTAACCATAGTTACTGATCATAGTAAAACTTGGGCTGTGTTCAAAATCAAAACAGCTGCTTTGCTGCCTAGTCAATCAATGACTAAACATGCAGTGTGTTTGTGTGTGTGTTTAACAGACAAGCTTCTAAAGCACCGTCAAGTCTTGTGTTCTAGATTTAAACAAATTTTAAGTTCTTTAGAGATTACCAAATATTTAATTACTTCAATGCTTATTTGGTGTGTAAATCACCATAAATAATTAAAAAATAGTTTATATAAACAGTATATACAGACGTTTATACTGTATAATTATATCGCCTACTCAAAGTTTACTGGAGGCCATTATAGAAGACAAACCATCATCTGTCAACCCCACCTTCCCCTGTCTTCATGAGATGTTTGTTGTTTGTTTTCCCTCACTGATCCTTGTTCCTGCTCATCAGTGAGGAGATATAATTACTGGCGGAGATTTTGAGGACTTAGTTAATTATCCCCTCAAATTAAAGGAGGGAAGTCACAGACTACACGCCCCGTCCCTCTCATCTTCTGAACTGCAATCCCCATAATGCCTCACCTCCCTCTCTGAGGTCACAAATGACAGGCAAATCAGAACACACACACACATGCTAGACTGGATTCAATCCATGCTGTTATAAGGCTTAATCAAACTGGTTGACATTTCAAGTCAATTAAGTTCCCCTTCAAAGCATATTTATGAATGAATGTTCTTAAATATGCGACTATATCAAAAAACAGTTGTTGTAATTATGATTATTTTCTTTATTTTCTTCATTCTACATTTCATTTTTTTCTTCTCCTCTTCTTCAGTTCTTAAACACTTGTAAGTGCTATCGATCGAAACAAATTGCTCGAGTTTATGCCTGTAATTAGTTCATAAACAGATGCTTTGAACTGGAAATGCTAAAAGCCTTCACTAGTTACAGCTTTCGCTCTCTCTCTCTCTTTATTTGTGGATATTTGCTCAATTGTGTAAAGGCTGGATATTTTACAAAGTCATTAAGGAAAAAAGGTACAAACAGTGTTTTTGTTGGGCGTTACAACATTTCATGCTGACCACCCTCTTGTTTCTGAGTCAAACACACCCTCGCTGTCATCTGATAAATCACGGCCAAATAAATACAGTGCTGTGACCTCCTTATGCAGGGGCGTAGTACATTCAGATATGGCCTTTATCATTACTAGCTTACAGCAACCATCTGTTGAGTGATGTATGCTGTAATTTCACCATTTACTTAAATTGCTTTTTTAAATGCATATTTAGGAGGTTTATTTAAATAAATATCTAATATTACTTTAAAATCATGATGCATTGGGTGAAGTATAGGGTGAATTTCACAAAATACGTGCATATCAGCCCTATGTGTGCATATTCATTAATTTTTAAGGATTTTTAATGCATTATGTTTTTTACAACAATTATATATTTCAGTAAAATTAGTGTAATACAGTGTTTAATTTAAATAATCATGAATATAAATAATACAATGATTATAATATAAATATAATCATTTATTTATTTTTTGTTTATTCTTTGCATTATGGGGAAAATGTGTTTATGTCTGTGATGGCTTTTTGTGAGATTCCCTCAGAAAGCTTCATCGCCCTGCGATAGTTTCAGTGCTGAAGGTGTTGTAAAAGGTCCTTCGTGTTCGCTCAGATGTGGCGGCAATCGCATGTCAGAGTGCCGTGCTACTTTAAGAGTCGATAATTCTCCTCCATCACGGCCAACACAAGCCGCCTGTCTCAGAGGTCAATGCTCTTTAAACAAATTACTCTGCTCAGACTCTGAAAGCGGCTCCTAATGTCCTCCGGTACTCTCCAACGCCTCTTTCTTTGACACAGCTAAACAGCAGTGAAATTAAACACGCCGCAGAGATCCACCAAGACCTGGGGACATTAAAGAGGGCCTGTGATGGGATGTCGGCATCCCATAAGGTTACGCAAACGGGTCTCCGGTAGTTTATGAGCTGCCAGAACTGGGCCTAAAACAGTGTTATTCAATAGCCGTCCATTAACACTCAGATCTACCGCATGTGTGTGTGTGTTAGGGCTATTTACGGCTCCGGGTTCTTATCGTCTTTATTTAAAAGGAAACACTGCAGTGGTTTATTGAGTCTGCATCCCTTTGTATCCTTCAAAGATTTGTGTGTTCTGTTATTTTTTTCAGCTTTAACCTTGTATGTTTGTACGATCATGACTTTTGTTAACACAAGGCCACCGCTGCGCCATCTGATACCTGTATTGGTTATCCATTGATCAGGTCTGGCATTGAACAGTTTGTCAGAAGGGTCCATAAAAAAGGAAAAAAAATAAATAAATCAAAGCAGGACGGCTGTGTTTGTCCCTTTGCCAATAGCTCTCAACTCGCAAATGCTCTCTTTAGCTGATCTGGCTATTTTAAAAAGCCCATCCAGATGTTCGCTTTAAATTTCTCATGAAATGGCTTGATGAGTGCAGTTTTTTTCTTGTGTTGATGTATTTTCTATTGAAACAGGAATTTGGACCAGGACATATATTTTATTTTTAATAATAATAATAATATTAATTATAAAATATTATTATATTTTATATTAAAATAAAAGATAACTATAAATATAATGTTTTATTTTATTTATTTTTTATTTTTATTTCTATTTTCTTATGTATGTAATTCAGAATTTAATTTAATATTAATGATAGAGATTAAAGATAGTTATTAAAAAGCTTTATTTTTTATTTTATTGTGCACTTATATATAGTAGTACACAATGTACACAACAAAATAAAAATAAATATTTTTTAATATCTATCTTTGTTTTAATAGATAATACAAAATGATTTCAAATTTTGCCTTAAGCTGCTGTCAGAATTGCCTTTTTTTTTCTTTGTCACAGTGCCTTTTTGGGAGACTCGGTCTCAAAAGTACCTTAAATATAAGCTGGTACATCCCTATCAACAAAATTGGAATGACAGAGTATACGTGGAAATACTTTCCGTCTGTCTCTATGACCCAAATTTGGAGGCAGCAATGATCTCCTTTGGCTCCTAACAAGGGGAAAGTGAGAGATATAAATTAAGATATATATGTATGTGAGCGCTCCGGCTCTAATAGACGCTTTAACGGAGCCAGGCCTCCTGAGCGCTTTTACAAACCATTCCGAACAATGACACCAGCCATAAATAAAGCTCAACGTCGGACTCTAATTGCATCAAAACTATTGCTTTCTATTTAGGCATGGTCACTGGTGACCACGGCCTTAACGCTCCACTGGAGGCCAGGGAGAGAAAGAGAGAGAGGAATAGAGACGTACGGCAGGAGCTATCACCCTTCCAGACTATTTGTCCTAATCAGTGACACCCATTTACCAGAATTGGTGAAAATGAACTATACTTCATACAGAAATCGTACATTTACCGGCCTTCATTTGTCACGGCACATTCGAGGGCCAGTAAACTTTTCCCTTCCTCCGATGGGATTGTAGACATGCATCAAAATGTTAAAAAATGATTTGCGAGGGAGGCCCGTCAGACATTTATCAGGGCTCGGGAACATTATTTGCTAATTTCCAAACCTGCGGCGTGACAGGGTGCTCCGTCTTTTAACCCGCCGTGACCGCTCTGGATCGGTTCTGTTATTAGTACGAGTCAAGCGTTTTTTTTGCTTTCTGTTTCTCGCTTTTTTCCTCTCCCAGTCTCAAGACCCCTCCTCGCTTTTTGCCCACTTCTAACGAGACTCATTTGTCTATCACGCCGGTGACAACGTCACCCCATTCGGCTCCCCGAGACTTTGACCACAGCGTGCTCTCGGGCTCTCCAAGGGCTCCGAGCTCCCGGCCTGTTGATTGGCCAGCGGCCCTGATAAATCACAAAGTTTCCTTGTCAAGTCGAATGAACCCTCTCTCCTTAAAGAGAGTTGCACTGGGCGATTTGGGTATAATTGGCCCTGCTGGTTGCTATTTTGGCTCAGGCCATTTTTTTTTTTACCTCTGGCAGCTTTAAATAGGTTTGTCCTCACTAAGTCAGAGAAATTAGTCATGCTCCAGTGGCCAGCACTCGTTCTGATGGATGGGGCGCTCTCTCGTTCCCAAACATCTTCCCGTTTGCAGCCCTCTGACCCGGGCCTAACCCTTGCGCCACATTCATCGCCAAATTTATTTATAGATTAATGAGAGAAGCCA